GGGAAATAGTTGTTTGAATTTTACATGTAAATACATAAAGATAGAAATTGAAATGAAAAGCTGCAGAATGCAGGAATCTATAAGAAAGATTCCTGCTCAATCAATGAGCTGTTTTAACTCCTTCCTTTATTCTGATTGGTTGCCCCTTGCAAACAGCAGTTTTGAACAGCAGATGCATCTCAGGTCCAGCAGCCAACGCTGTGTACCTGAGATGACTACTTTAGGGATATCGGCTCTCACTGACATCATAAAGAGCCAGGAGTAGAAAAGAAATACCTAAACTGAGTGTTTAGAGCACTCTGAGCTTTTTCCTCACAGGGATTATCTGCACACCCTGTCATTTCATTATTTGAAACTTTGGCCATATTTAAAACGACCGTCAAACATCGTAACTGTTTATAACAGAGGTAATAGCTCCCCTTTAGCGTAACACCCAAATGCTGTCAAAAACTCAACTGATAGTCTCAAAATTGTGATAAACACATTGATTTAGTGAAGATGTTTCGCTACTCTGCGTCTGTGTAAAAACGATTCCAACGACTCGTTTACATTTGTCCGATAAATCCGAGGTCAAAGACTGACAGACTGTTACAGTAAACTGCACTCGTTTATGTCTTAACTTGTGAACTGGTTAAACTTTGCCCTCCCTCCCCTCTCCTCCCCCACTGGCCAGCAGGTGTCTGTGTGAGGTGAATAGCTCAAGGGGAAAATAGGGCCTCTGTTCTCCACTGTCCTGGGAAATGAGCTGGAAAATGAGGGGCGGGCAGCCACACCCCCTTCTCAGGACCTGCTGCACTCCTCCTGTGGCGGGTGGCTGTCTTCGAGCCCCTCGATCCATGTTGTTTGAATACAGCTGCGGTGTATGAATTTAGCAGGGTGCTTAAACAGCCCGACGATCTGTCACTCTCGCCCTCTCGCCCTCCCACCGTCCCACCCCATCCTGACCTCACTTGACTGGCAGAGCCAAACTTACTCAGTCCTTCATTCAAACTCAATCTGCTTTCAGCCCTTTTCAAAGCCTGTTTTATAGGCGAAGGCCTTGTCGACCGCTTTAAACCTAATATTCTCTCACTAATGCTACAATCGACTAAGAATTGCAGGATTATGTCTCTTCGTGTTGTCATTATGCAGAGTGTCTAAGAATAACCATCTCAGTTTGATAATGTGGCTGCTGATCTACTCCCTGTGCCTGAGATTCTCATCTATGAGT